ACGCGGCTCTGACAGCATACGGGTGCCGGCATGCCGGTGCCTGGCGAAGCTGGCGCGAATCTCGCAAGAATTCAATGGTGACCCGAATTCGAACGAGCACCAGCATTCTTACCACTCAATTTGCCCTACCGCAAATCAAATCTCAAGCGAATACCGCCTATGCCACTAAAATACTAATAGCGAAGCAGGAATCGGTATTGGAGGCTGCGGTGAGTGGTAATGCATTGAAATTGTCAGCAATTGTAAAGACGCCGCGCATGTCCCTACATTCCAACTTCGCACCTGCGCAGCCAGCTCACCAGTTGCGCCCAATGGGCCACAAGGTTCGTGGGAGAAAACCCGCCTCCTCCGCTCGCAGGTGCCATTCCGAAATAACCTTTCACCATACGGACCTGCGAGAGCGCGTTCCCCTGCTTCTCGTGGTGCTCGTGGCGCGTGCTCCTTTTCTTGCGCAGAATACTCCACATCTCCTCCCACGGCATCCCAAATAGTCTCACACACTGCTGCTGACGGGGGTGCGCCCTTTTCACCACCTTCTTCTCCTAAAGAGCGACATTATTTACATTTGAAGACTTTCAAGCTCTATAAACTTAAGACTTCAGACTCTAGGGATTTTAGGCTTTGTATTTCCAACTTAAAGACTTCGAAAGATTCCGAAAATACTTCAAAAGACTTGAACACTTTCAGGCATACCAAATCTCACCCCTCCCGCAGGTGTTCTGCCCCCCGCACTGCCAGGTGGGCTATTCCTTTCCCCAGTCCTCCGTGCCCAACCTTGCGCTGGTGGAGGCCGCCAGCGCCATCGCCACCGTGGTCCACCGCCTGGGCGTCGTGGGCCACATGGAGGTCGACTTCATGGCCGTGCGGGAAAGCGGCTGTCTGCGCATGTGGGCCACGGGCCTCAGGCCCTACTACTCCGCATCCCTCACGACGTTCCAGCTCTTCGACTTCCTGACGGCGGGGGAGTTCGACGCCGCCGTGGGCGCGTACACTGTGCCGGACGAAGGAGACGGCGGCGCGACGGAAGCGGAGGGGGCGTCGTCGAGCAGGTGACGCCCAGGGACACAGAATTGTGCGATACGTATTGGACAGAATCAGATCTGAATACATCTGATGTGATATGTTCGACGTATACTGATTGTACTTCAAAAGTATATCTGAGTATGCACTTTGTACATTATGTGAATGTACCTGATTTGAATCAGTGCTGGGGTCATCAAGGCCATGAGGCCACTGGGGGCTCTGAAACCCTAAACCCTGAACAGCCTAAACACACCAAAAGCGGTAGACTGACATCAGTTTCATTGTGTCTCCTTCAAAGGCAATGCCAGCTATGTATCTGCATTTAGGGAGCCTCAATTATTTGAGGAATGCGTGTGATTTTAGAGTGAGACCCCACTCGAAAAGTTTGGTCGCGGGAGTTAGAAATCACTGCTCAGCACTTGTTACTTTATACTTTATTGAACATGGTGCTTTCCCCTTGGCCATGGGTGCAAGGCACTTTCCCTCCAAGGGATCTGATCACCCGGAATACTTGTATTAAATCTGAACTCAATCGACAGGTTCAATGCCTGAGATCCTTTTATTAATTAATAATTAGCTATTAACCGTGTAATTTGTTTAGTGTCACAACTGGCACGGCACAGCCCTAGCACCTGACAGGAAACGGATTCGACGATTCCCGGCAAACCTGCTGCCCCAAAGAAATAATTCGCTAATTCTTCATCCCCCATAGCCTCTGGACGTCCCAGAAGAAAAAAATGAACAAAAAACCTGAAACAGCGCCCAAAAGACGACAACACAAACTGCAACCAAAGGAAATAAGATAAGATTCTTCTTTGATATTTTGCAGTAGAAAGGCAAAGGTCTAAAGGCAGCGGCCGACAACAACTGAGGGAACTGGAAAGGCAGAACCATGCTTTTGGTAAAGGTAGCATAATTTTCAGTACTTTACAGTACTTCAGCAGCACCTGCTTGTACTAACTTGTCTTGAAAGGGTGGCTGCCAGGTCGACACCGGGACATAGGGCGTTTCAGAGGCTGGGCGACAATGGGCTGGGCGCCACGCCCAGGGGGGGTGCGACTCCCTATTCCGACCTGCAGAGCAGCGCCTCGTCTCCTCGATCGGTCCCAGTGGGAGAGGGGCCCGGGGCCATGACGCCGGGAGAGGATCGGGCGAGGGAACCGGCCCACGCGCGTGCCGGCGTGGCCAACCAGCAGAGGAGGTTTTACGTGGCGCTCACCGGGCTGAGGCAGGAGGCGCTCAAGTCGTTGAGATGCGCGGCGTTCTTCCACAGCTGCAGGATTCACGGGTTTTGCTTCGACATGCAGGTGGGGGCGGAAACGCGGTGGGGTGCTTGATGTTGACGATGGCAGACAGGGTCGAGGGGTGGCGACGCCCCAACGGGGACCGTAGGCTCGACTGCATAGAAATGTTTTACAGCCGAGCAAAAGACAGCAGAAGTTACGTCCCTTATAACCAGTCTGTTCATCAAGGCCCTAAATGCAGTTCCTAATGCTTCATCACCTCTTTATGCGTTCACCTGTTCATAATACACAATCAGTTCTAGTTACAACAACGTCGTGCGGCGGTGGCCAAGCTCCTTTTGTTTAAATTGGGCTTTGTCGCCAAATTTAAGTTTGTCGGCAGATGGGATATCCGTCCATATTCCGTTGCCCCGATAGTACCTCGCCCTGCCACAGCGTGCACGAACAGCGGCCAAGAAAAAAGCAGCGCTGGAAAGTGTGCCCTCGTTTGTGTGCGACTTGCTCATTCTGAAGTACAGTAGGGGTCCCTATATAGCGCCCCCGGCCTGCAATAGCGCCCCCTTTTTGGCTTGTCACCATTTTTGTAGTTTTATTCGCTGCCCAGTGGAACCTCAAACTAGTACTGTGGACACCCAAGAGAGGTGTGCGGTGGACGGACACCGCGGCGGCCGACCGTTTCCGCGAACTTGGCATATCGCGGACGGGCGGACGGCATGTCTGGTGCGTCCGCCTTGGGTCCCGGGCCCAGGACCTGCCCGGGAGGCAAGGGGAAGGGTGCGTTCTGCGGCGGATCTCCATCTATGCACAGCGAAGTGGGCACTGCCCGCCTTGGCTCCTTGCCGCCGGCGGAGTGGAGGGATAGGGAGGAGTGCCCAGTGCCGCGGCGTCCATTTTTTAAACGTGCAGATTGCCACAAACACGAGGGTTGATAGAGACCAATGTCACGAACGAGTATTCTGTGCGAGCCTCCCCCTTGCCCTTGAAGATCGGTAGCCGGCAGTGCCTGGCGTCCGAGCCAAGGCCGATTGATTGCACTCGTGGGTGCCAATCAGAATACCCACGGGTGGAGCCAATTGGTGCCAATGGGGGGCAGCTATGGCGAGAGTGGGAGGCCACGTTCGGCCTCCCACTCCCACCTGCTTGTGGTGACTTCCGTGCCCAGCTGTTAAATGCCGCGCAGCCGTTGTTGACCGTGGGCACACATGCTGCACCTGCTACTCTGGGCAATGCAACTCGCACACAAGAGAGTCCCTGGCTCCGAGCGACCTGCCGCACGGGTGGGAGCGACGGGGAGCGCTCGTTGTGTGACGCGCCGCTTATGACTCAAACTGGTACGTACACGTGTGGTCGTCCGCGAACGGATATTTGCAGAAATGCTCAACGGTGGGGGCTTTTTTTGGGGGGTGGGGGGGTGGGGGGGGTGGGTATCCCCCGTTCTCTACGGTATGATACGGCTCTGCCCGGTTGGGTGCAATCCGCAATCATCATGCGGGCAATGCTGTGCAAGTCCACGTGATGAGTTATGATAGGCACCGGGTAACATCAATGCAAGCCCCAAACATGGTGTTCCACTACTGTGGCGCGATGGCACGTGGTACACGCTTGTCATGGGTCAATTTGGCATCCAACAGGCCATAACACGGCTAATGCGTCTACTTTTGCCTCTTCTTGTGATGGGAAGCTTTATTTTATGAATAAAATTGCAATTAAATGCATTTATCAAGTAAATTTTTTAGCGCCCCTGGCCCCCAACAGCGCCCCCTTTTTGGCCATGTCACGGGGGTGCTACACAGACCTCCCACTATAACAGACTTGCTCACGTGTCATTCTGTTGACAGACTTCTTAAGCGCTGTTCTGGTCGTCCAGGGTCGCATTGGCACCGTGTTCAATGTCAACGACAGGTTTTCGAGCGGCTCCCTTGGCGTCTTGTGCGCCGGTTTCTCCCCCTCCGACGCCTTCACAGAGCTGTCCGACGTGATGGACTTCATGGCGTCCGAATACGGGGACCTGAGGCTCACCGCCAAATCGGCCACCGCCGTGTCCGCAGCCCCTTGCCATGCGGGGGGCGTCGACTTCAACATGATGCGGGCGGCCGTGAGGTATCTCACGGAGCGCCTGAAAGACAGGCACTGAGTGCGAGGAGGACCGGTGGTGCATCCTGGCACAAGCCGCCTTGATTGAATGCTTGCGCTTTGTTCTCAGCCGTGCGTTGTGTATATACTTCGGCCGCAGCCACAGGAGCCCAGCGCTGGTGTGTATCATGAGCGCGTGATGCGGCACAAGCGACTGTTAAGAAGCGCTTGTGCTTTCTGTTCCTGACGCGCCCATTCACGCGTTGTTCGACAGTGTGTTGTTATGCGCTGATTTCTAGAAGCAGACTGGCTATTGCACATGCAAAACCCACCAGGGTGCACCGTCAAGGTCACTCTGGGAAATTGACACCCACACCCGGGTGCCTGCTGGCAACCACGCTGCAGGCCGTTTCTCCGATGCTGAACGCTGTTCGTTGTTGTGCAATTCACTGCCATTGGAGACCTCGACACGGCGCTGTAATGGGGCTTATGCGATCGCATTGGGGCGCAATGGTGTTCTGCTTGGGCGCCAACACTTTGCTCGGGAGGTCGGCCCGTTGTGATCGTCGCGTTCTTCCTTCCACGGCACGCCTCGCAGCAGCAAGGCAAAAAGGCTGAACGCACAGCAACGCGTATTCACAATTCCGCTTTCGGTGCGCCTCAATGGGGCCACGGCGCGTCCAGCTTATCCATCAAAAAGTCTTGCCGCTTCCCGACGGGGAGACGCGTCCATTCATCCGTGTCAACACGCACGACCACGAAGCCCTGGGCCTCCTGAATGCGCATCGCCCACATCCTGGGCCCCTCCAGCCTGTCTTTCCGATTGACAAAGTAGTGCTGCTTTATGCTGACCTGCGTGTGCACATGAACGCCACGGCTGTTGGTGCCCTCGGAATGCGGAGCAGCTGGCTGGAAGTGAGCAATTCCTGTGGCTGGTGGCACACGTGCAGAGCCGCTGCCAATGTGGCAGAGACATTCCTTGGCAATGTACAAGCAACGCAATCATTGGCCTGCGTCATACGGCTGCAGCCAGCAACTGTGTTAGCAAGTGCGAGCTTATTTCGTCCACCATCGCATGCAAATCTTCAAGAGAGCTGCCTTGTTCTGATCTGGCAATTGCATTCCATGGGATTCAGCAGAATCGACAAATTGGCGAGACAGGACCGACAAAAAACTTCACCACATGGCAAGTACCTCCCCTGCAATATCTCTTCAGACGCTGATGCCACAAATGCCATAAGTTGGATTCGCCCGCATCATTAAAGGACCAATTACAGGCATTGGTTCCGAGTTCACCCGGTGGGACTCCAGTTTCACTGTGGACACAGATGCAACAACAGGCATGGGTTCTCACCTCGATGGTTACCCGCACGCCATCAGCACCCGTCGCGCTGTCCACCAAGAGCGGGATGACACCAGAAACAAACCTCGTTGAGGATGCGTACCCCAGCTTCTGCAGGGTAATGAGGACAGCCAGGCCCACTGCGGATGTTGGCTTGGAGTACTGGCCGCTCACCCACACTCGAGAAAACTCTTCCTGCAGCTTTAACCAAACCGCTTCGTCCAACCCTTGCTCCAGGCCAAACACCTGAAGGTGAATGGCACACTGGTATATCTGGCGCTTCTCCGAATCCTTCATCGACTTCAACGACGACTTATTTGACAGGCACACCATGCCTAGATTGAATGTCTTAACATCGAGAGCATCCAGCATCGCCAATGCCCACAGAAGGTTGCACAGCTCCTGAACAGAAAAGCTGTCCTTCTTTTCCTCAAAATGTGCTTTGGCTGCAGAACAAAGAGGGCCTGCTATGTCGACATCCCCAAAGATCCCAAAGGCGTACAGAAGATTTGAAACGTGCTGGGGCTTGAGCCTGCCCAACATGCCCACCGCATGGGAGACTACCTTCCCTAAAAAGGAATTACATGGCAGATACATGAGTTTTGACAAGGACCAGACCAAGTTAGCGATGCCTTGTGGGCTGAAATCGTCCAACCGGCCTTCGAAATTTCTCACAACCTCTCCAAAGAAGTTGGAGCCATCCTGGAAATCTAACTTTGCAAAACCCCACAACAAATTCGACACCTGCTGTGGAGTCAGACTCTGTGGGTTTAGCCTGGGCAGCAATTGATGCAGAAAGTCCGCAGTCCTTTGGCACGTTTTTGTTGCCCCCAGCCTGCCAAGGCTCCACACAACGTTGGACAGCTCCTGGCCCTTGAACTTTTCGATTCTCCTGGCAGCTGAAGCAGTGAGCCTCAGCAACAGGCCCTCGCACGTCTTTCGCTGCAGCTGCATGTTTGCCAGGCCAACCATGACACTAGATATCTCCCTGGCAGAGAACCTCTCACACAGCATTTCTGCTCTCTCCATCAGCAAGGCCAACACGCCCGGAACACTAGCCGAACCAGGTGTCAGAATGGTCAGCACTGGTCTGCCAAGTTTTCCATATGCCCAAATCACATTTGCGATGTGTCGTGGCTGGAAGAGGTCGATGGAGTTGTGGACGGCCACAGTGAGCCGTTCGATCAGCTTTGCATGGTTCTTCACCACGTGGGATTTGAGATGTGATGCAGAGACGAGGAACGCTGTTCGATGCATAATTGTTGCCACATTGACATGGCTTATAGTCTCTTCCTGTGCGAGCAGGAGCGAATCTGTTATCAGCAGGTGTGCGGTCACACAATTCATGGAAGAAGCCACAATCAAAAAAATGACACGCATGTGTGTGACAGCTGGCTGATGAACAAGGGTTCGAACTGAGGTTCAGCACAATCCATGCAGGAAACACACAAAATGTCAAGTTCATTGTCATTTTTGGCCAGCAGTTCATAAGACAGAAACAAAGAGCTGCACAGGTGCAACCACTCCATCAACTGAGATGACATAAAAATGAGCACATACGAAACATGCCCCACTCCAAGCTCACTACTGGGAAGCAGCACTGAACGCTATATACAGGCTTTATACACATGCTGTAGGAGACTGCTTAAATGAGAACTAGGACAACTTTGGCACTAATTGAAGTGCCACGGTGCGAACTCAGGCACGATGGCACAACAGGCTACTTGCCAAGATTTTTGAGACTGCGCAGACAAGCCAGGGCAACCGCAAGTTTGCAAGCACTCTGGACAGAGAATGTGACAGAAACTGTGGATACAACACAGTGACTGCTGTTGTCCAATATCACTGCCCTGCAGTCAACATGGCAGTGTTGGAGTCTGTGTACTACTACCCACCCCTTCCAAAATGCAAAGGAAATCTTCGAGCAGAGCTTCCACGCTTGCGCTTGACATGTCGTGATGCTTTCCAAACTCCCTGATCACCTGGCTGGTTTCATCTGCCATTTCCGTTATCCTAATATTCAGAGCCACTTGTCTTGAGGCCCCCATCTTGTTACTTCTTTGCTGCCGTTTCAAATGTCTGCCTTGCGCTTCCTGGAAAAGCGCACAGTGAGAGAAGTGCAAACAAATTAATGTGGGCAGGAGGCAGACAGCCATAGGCTGGACCAGTGATCCAGATTCCTGTGCATTTGGTGCCTAGCAAAAAGGCACAGGGAATCGCAATCCAAGGGGCTCTATCCCTCAGCACTTGTTGCCATACCTTCACTGCAGCAAAGATGTACCGTGCTGTTCTTGGGGGCCGTTTCCTCGGGTTGTACAGAATGTGCAAAAAACACAGCCTGAGAACACAGAGCCCAATGTAGCGTCGATGCTTGAAACGAGTTGCAGGCGTGTGCCAGACATCTGAGAAAATACACAATCAGCAAATTTCTAGGAAGGGCTGCTACACAGCTTGTCTCCATTCATGGATGGATGGCTCAATAATGTGGTGGCATGTGTGTGCATTTAGCAAGGACATATGCTACTACAACAACCAGGCCCGGGAGCAGCGAGGCTACATCATGTCACACAAGTCACAGGCTTCCCAACCAACCTGGAAGTCTTTGTTACAGCCCAGCAAGCCAGGTCCACACAATATGAGGGCAAAGCTCCCAATGGTAATACTGATTAAGGGCCTGCGTGGGTCAGCATGTGTCACTGCAATAACAGAATCTTTCTATTCTCTTGGTGTGCAGTCTAGTCCTTCTCAAAACGTTATCAAATGTGCGATTCGATGGTTGTGAGCATGTGTGATATTACAGAAATTACCTGCTGTACGCGACACTACAGATTGCCCATGTGCACCTAAATCCACACCTTGCACAGCTGGGAGAAGACTGCTGACGAGGTACAGATGAGGTTGGCAGCATTTTGGTGGCCTGTGCAATAACCGAGAAGAAAAAATGAAGGTTCGCATCACCAGCCACTGCAAGCCAGGTTTCCACTTCCGTACGGCAAGAGTTCCGTGAGGGGACGTGAGTATGGCAGCATATGATATTGTAGTATATGCAACCCTTCCGCATGAAAAATTTTTACCATTACGCATTTTGCTCCGCATTTGCTTTTCAGAGCGTTTCTTTTAACTGTTATTACATGCCTCCGTTTCTTTTAACTGTTATTACATGCCTCCGCACAAATTCTGTTGGAAGAGCGTTATTTATCTTTATGTTTTCATTGCAGAAAAAGGCCAAGCGTTACGTTACTGTGCAGAAGGGTTTTAAAACCAACAGTAGGCAGTGCTGACGCAGAGGCCCATGCCTTCTGACAGGGTTGTTTGGTGGGCCCAGACGCAAAAGAGAGATGTTCTGCAGCATTTCCAGACTAGGCTAGCTGATGGTGTGGAGATGAAATAGCATTATGGGAAGCAGTTTGATTGGCAGATCTGGCCGCGGAACAATCCGGTTGCTTGCACCTAGACTTGTTGGAAAATGGGGTTACAAGGTCTTTGGCAGTCACAGACACGACGGGATTAAACCCTGTGGCTGCTCCTGGGCAGGGCATTCACCATGCTGTGCCTTGTAGGGGGAAAAACTATCCCTGTCCATCTGGCGTGGTTACACCTCGCGCATATACGTGGCCTGTGACTGCTGATCGATTGCTGAACACTTGCATGCGCCGTTCAAAAGGACAGTCAGCCTCCCAGTACAGGCTGATGTAGCAATGTTAGGTATCACCACGGCCGCAAGAAAACGCACAACCCAACTGCCCGCGCGTCCCCTTGCAGACGTCCCATTAATGTATGCCAGAAAGCGGACGAGGGCGCCAGGTGCACACCCGGCATCGCCACACCAAGGCATGGGATCCAGGACTCTGTCATACTTCGACAAATGGCATCCAATATCACGGCACAGCCCAGGCACGAAGGCATCACAACTTCCAGAGCATAGAGGCCATGCGCCCAACCTTTCCGTCAGGCAGGCTCACTAGCAGCTCGTGAGGTTGGCTTCCTCGTCGTCGAATGCACCAGGTTCGGCCACAGTCTCACGCCCCAGCAACCCGTGGTCGCCCGAGCCTTCTCGAGCCTAATCGGAATGCTCCCTCGCCGCCGAAGTCGCGAGGCGCCAGTGGCGGCAGCGCCGCGGCACCTGCGCCGATCCCATCAATTTCCACAGCTCCGCCGCCCGTGGCAAAGAGCGCCAATGGCCCCTTGGCGGCGTCCACAGAGGCGGCGCACAGGCCACAGGCTGTGCCCGGTACAGAGCTGTCGACGAGAAAATCGACGAGTCGACAAGCCCTCGAGAAAGAAGGGCAGGCTCGGAGGAGAACAAACAGCGATTGCACCTGCAGCGCAGCGCCTTGGCAAGCGGTCCTTGCGGGCTGCGCCAACGCGCGCGTGCGGTGCGTGTGGGGCCACTTGGCGGCGTGCCTGCTTGGCATGCAAGAGTGGCGTTAAGTACCAGTATGCGAGGGAAGCAGAATGTGGGTGGATGGTGGTGCCGTGGCGGAAGTTTCCAGATGTTGGGGTGAATGACGTGACGTTGATTAGTGTTGTCGTGGAAGAGGTCCGCGTGCCTTGCTGCGTGCATGTTCGGACACCAAGGAGACGTCTATTATATACACAATAAATCTGCTGGTTACGTCCTGAAAGCACAATTCCTTAACACTGGCAATGGCCTGAATGCTCTTGTGTTTGCCGCTCCGGTCCCTGTGCCTACCCGGCAGCTTCTTCCGGGCTGTCACGAGCCAGAACTTTACAGAAGAAAAATAGAATGTGATTTGTGCTCCTCTCCCAAACAAGGCTTTTAGGCGCTTTCCGGTGTATTGAAAATGATGCAGGTGGCTGTGCGCGTGGCGGCCAATGCAATGCTGCCAGAAGTAAACGACGCCAAGATGGTTACAACTGCCAAACAGTGCAGACCAATGCAGATAGCCAATGATGCAGCAGTTTCAAGTGGCTCGCAGTTTCATTATTTTTCTGAGCTTGGCGTGTGGGGCCATCCCCTGAGGCAAGCACTGTTTGGGTCGCCAATCTATCATAAAATGAAAGACCTTAAAGATAGCTCAGTATATACGGTACATACTGAGCTAGCAGCCTGTTGCTAGGGGCTAGGGCAAGCGCAGGCAAACGTTGTGCCTGGGCTACAGATTGTAAGACCTGGTATTTCATGGATTTCTGTCCTCGTCTCCAAAGATAGCACAGGCTCGTTGCCCTGCTATCGTCGACTGCTCTGGGCTGCGGACAGTAAGACCTGGTATTTCGTGGATTTCTGGCCTCGTCTCCAAAGATAGCACGAGCTCGTTGCCTTGCTATCGTCGACTGCCAAGTTGATTGAGAAACGACGCCATCATGGACCTGTCAGGTCGCATGGCGATCGGCAGCACCATGCTGCAAAGGGCAACGAGTGTCGCACCCAGTCCTGATGTCCCCGCTGAACTCGCAGCCCGTCAGAGTTGTGCTAGGAAGGATATGTCTGTCTCTGGACCGCCCCCGATTGTGCCAGCCACCGGAGGAGCGAACAGAGGATCGACTGTACCGCTCAGACGACCCAGGGGTGCTACCATGTCGGTCAAGCGCCTTTTTCAGCACGGAAATACGCTCCAGACGCTCGTCGCCAAATACAGTTCGCTGGACTTCGCTCGCACCTCTCGTTGGGTCCCCAGAGTGCAAGCCCTCTTCCCATGTCCGCCGCGTGACGCTGCCCTCACCCTCCCCATTGAGATGAAGTTTCCAACCGGAAACTTCCGCAGTGCGTACGGAAATGTACGGAAACGTACGGAAATGTACGGAAACGTACGGAAATGATCCTCGCCACATTTTGCCCAAAACCACGTTGCCCATTTGATGCCTTGGTTAAGCTTGCAAGCAATTGCTTCCCTTCAGCAACGTTGCCGTTTACGGATCCCACCGCGCATCCTGCCCCCTTGAGTGAGAGCTCCTCACACAGGCACACAACATCCCCTCGCACTCGTGCTCGAGTTCCAACCTTCCCCCGCACCCCCACCCCCCCGCCCCGCCTCCGACCGCCGACCGGCGGCATGATCCTCTACAGCAAGAACTACTGGGGCTTGCCCCTGCTGTGGCGCATCTATGGCTCCGCCTTCCCGCGCACCCTCCCCTTCGCGCTGGTGAGCGGTGTCATCACGCTGATCCTGGAGTGGACGGTGGCCGAGGACAAGGACGGCGTGCCCAGCACGGCGCGGCGATGGTGGGAGCACCCCTACCCCTACCAGACCTTCGCCTTCATCGTGGGCTTCATGCTCGTCTTCCGCAGCAACTTCGGATACGGGCGGTACTGGGAGGGCCGCACCACGCTGCAGGTGGAGCCAGCGACGGCTTTTGCTCTGCACTCAAGGACTGCAAACTGCGCCGGTGAAGGCCAGTGGGATTCAAAGGCGCCCAGCTGCCAGGGCCGTTGTCGCCTTCGATCCCGAGCTTAACGGAGTGGGCATCTCGCCTTCCTCAGAAGGCGGAGCCGACATTTGCACCCAATGTTGGGCGGAGCGCACGGGGCTCGTTGGGGCTGGGGGGCGCCTGGCCGGGGCCTGGGCGTCAGGCGCGCGCGAATCAGATCATCAGCACCTTTTGTTTGCCTGATTTGAGTCGGTGGGGTGGTGGCCGCCGTGGGCGTCGATTGCCCGCGGGGGGAGGGGGGGGGGGTGCCCGCGGCCGGGCGGCTTCCGCGGTCACACCCTCCAGGGGGACAGGGCCACGGGCAGGAGGAGCTGATGGCAGACTGGGGGGAATGATGTTGTGAACTTAAACGCAAACTACAAATAGCGAGGAATCGATGGAGCGCGGGCGCCGGTGGTGTTTGGGACGTCCCCGTGCGCTGAGGCGGGAGCGAGCCGCGACAAAACCTGTGTTTGGTACATGGATATGAATGGGCGTCGAGGTCACGTGGGCGGGGATGTTCTTCGAAGATGGCAGCTTGCGGACGCAGCGCGAATTTTGAATATCGTGGCGGGGCGCCGCTGACTCCCGTGTGGCCGGCATGCGCAGCTGATGTCCGCCAAATGGAGCGACGCCGTGATCCAGGTCCTGAATTTCGACTTCGGGACGCTGCCGCCTGACCTTGACGACGAGGGCAAGCGGAGGGCACGGCGCTTCGGCGACACCTTCGTGCACCTGATGAGCCTGCTGCACGCTGTGGCGGTGCAAAACCTGAGGAAGGACTGGGAGCTGGACAACCTGCGGCCGCACGACCAGGGCCAGCCGGAGCCCCCCATGGACCCGCGGTACATCAAGGACGCCACCAAAAAAGGCACGTCCGCATGAATAGCGGGGGGGACTGGTGCCCTCCCGATCTCCCTTCACTTCGCCTGTTAGATTGACTGGTTCAGGTTGGCACGTTGTCTTTGACACTTCTTTGTTCATTTTGTCAACCAATGCCTGTTGCTTCCTCAATGTGTGCTCCTGGAAAGTTCACAGAGAGCTGGCAGCCTCCTAGTTGCCCTTTTCTTTTTTGTGTGATTTTCCTTGAGTGATTGATGTAGAAAGGTATTGTGTCATTGCAATCTTGTTTTGCTGCTATTATTGGGGCCTTTTCCTGTGGTTTAGTTCCTGTGTGCTTCTGGAGAGTTCGCAGGGAACTGGCACCTTTCTAACCTCCACTGCCAGCTGTTTAGGATTAATTGCAAAGCCACGTTCTTCACAGTTTCTGTTGCCCTCTTTCTGGGCCATCTCTATGGATTCCTGGTTGTATGCTTTTGACGATCCTTTCCTTGCTGCTGTAAAGGCATGCGATACATGACCGTCAGCGACTTCACGCACCTGCGGTCAGGAAAGAATCACATCAAGTTGTATAACTCAATCATGCCCCTGGGAGTGGTGGGTGGCATAACTGAGGACGAGTTTGTGGGACTTGGGAAGGACTTGAAAGATTCTGGCGATGAGGACCCTGGCGGCCTGTCCAGGGGGGCTCGGCTGTCCAATGGAGTTGTCGTTCCTGGACCCGCAGAACGCGTGCAGGTTGGTTGAGTCTGACCCAGTCCATGTTCAAGCACAGCAAGTCCATGTATGGATGATGATTTGAAATTTTGTATTGGCAGAAGAGCACAACATTCCACACTTGTTCAGTGCGATGTCAACTGTATAATTGGAGAAGAGCAAACCGAACCACAGCTGTTGAATTTTGGAAACAAATCAGACTGGCAAAAGGTTTATATGGGCGCTTTATTGGCAGCTGTGATGTGTTTGGCGTAGTGTATTGAGCAGCTCTATGCTGTTCCTAATTCTAGCTTTGTTGCTTGTTGGCCCAATATTAATTGCTAGACAGCCATTTAATGTTGCAAGAATGTTGCAAGCACAGGAAGTTGCCACAAAAGGAGCTGTCAGGCATGTTTTTAGCCAAAAGATCACTTGTGACCCTGAATGCTGGCAGCAGAAATGTCCGTAGTGGACCACGACAATGCCAGATTGTTGTAAGTGTGCTAGGCTGTCAAATTTCGGGCAACCTTCTACCAAGGATAAATTTGGTGGCTGTACCAAATGCAATCATGCAAGGGGTGCTGTGTGCCAACAGGGATATTCTATCCTGCCTAGACAATATCTGTGCAATTTTTCCTCAGTACTGCTGGCTGTTGTGCAAACAAAGGGAAAACTAGTCATGCACTGGTACGTTCTGCAGCAGGATGTGCTCCATTGCCACTTTTGCTCTCATTTGGGACAAGCCACTGGTCGGCTTGCAGGAATGGTCCCATCAAGAGCTGGTCATTGCATTCTACTCCCCATACAGAGATCCTCAGAGGGGGCAACAATACACACAATGAGCAAGCCTGTCCCAGCAAGGTGATAATGTTGTTTTACACACTGGAAATGGTGGAGTCACAAGGTCTTAATATTGAGCTCAATGTTACATTGAACCTGTGACTGCATTGTGCAGGTGGTGATGTCATGGGTGCACCAGATCGTTTTGGAGCGCCGCCGTGAGGGTGGACTTGCCATCGAGCCCCCGATCTTGACCCGTGTGTACCAGGTCCTGTCAGAGGGAATGCTTGGCTATGAGCAGTCTCGAAAGATTATGGACACGCCTTTCCCCTTCCCATGGGTGCAATTCGTCACTGTGTGCCTCCTGCTGTATGCCCTGACGGTGCCCATCGTCATCTCTGCCTACATCACTGAGGACTGGCTGGCTTTTCTTCTGACGATCTTTGCTGTAATGACATATTACGCGCTTAACGAGGTGTGTGTTTGTGTTTATTGTCGTTTGTGTACTTGTCTCTAATGGATTAGAAGTTCAGAACAAATGCAGTTGATCGGATGCGCCAATTGGCACCAACTGCCTTCCACTGTCATGGCGGAAGATACACAGGCTTGTTGCCGCAATGTTTGAGAAGGCGATTCAAAGTTCAGAGCTTTTGCTGGTGCCAGTTACAATGCATGCAATGTCAACGCTAGGAAGTTGTTGCTCTATGATTCTGGAAGGGTGGATCTTCAAACTTTTGCACAAAATGGTACTCGTTACTGGGAATGGAGTCAGTATTGTTCCCATGAGGGGCGTAGATGTTATTGTTTAATTGGCTGTACTCCTCCACAACAACAATCTTTCCAAGGCACCCATAAGGCAGTGAAGGGCAATGCGTCTCTGCAGAGGAATGCCTTAAACTTCTCATGTAGTATAGCTTGTAGGTATGAACGCCTTGCTGTCTGTTCATATAAGTTGAGTAGGGACACATGTCATGACCATCGTGTCAACTTTCAAGTTGCATGTAAGGATACATTTGGTGAAGCCTAACCTTTGAGACAATCCAAAACAGAGTGCAGATGGGCAGTGCCAGTCAAGATCGTATTGGAATGCTAAGCTGTTGTGGAAATGGGAGTCATAGCTTGTCGGGGAACATCACACGCAAGTGTGACCAGCAACAACACCACCTGACGTGCAGAAGCTCAGCTCTTTGCAACATGTCCAGGGATTTTATTCTTTGTGCTCCCATGGAATCTAATCTGCTGTTCTGCCTTCCACAAGGTGGCCCGTGACCTTGAGGACCCGTACGTGTACGACCCCAACGACCTGCCCATGGCGCGCCATCAGTACGCCTTCAACGAACGCATCCTGTCCCTGTCTGGCACCAAGCGGCCATTCAGCCCCACAGAGCTGGGCATCGCGCGGCTGCGGACCATCGTGAGGAGGGACAAGAAGCCAGATGGTAGGCAAGTGGAGTTGCCATTGAGGGATAGGCACCCGACCAATGTGCCCTCCATGCCATCTGTGCCATCCTCACAAGAGAACCGCATTGGCGGTGTGTCCAGTGTGGACGTCCGGCTGTTTGCCAATAACGAGGAACCCGACCTTAACCAGGTACTGGCTCTACAGCTCAGCCCACACGAGTCGCGCACCGGAAGCCAATGATGCCTGTTTGGATGGTCCTTGCAACAACAGTTGCCAGAACACGGCGAATGATGCACCGCCTTTGTATCTGCAAGGCGATGGCAGGCTCAATTCCCTCCACGGTGGATGCTCGTGAGGGTCTCTAAGCACGCCGACTTTGGGGCCAAGAGGGACTGGTTGTGTGGTGTGGACCCACTCAAGAGTGATGTGTCTGAGACTTTGCATAGTGTAAGCAGTGATCTAGATGAAATTCATTCAACAAGATCAGATAGGCCCAGTTGGTAGCCATGCCCTTTTGATTTAGCGAATGATCCTTCATCCCATGGTTGGTGTTTCAGATAACTTTTGAGGGTCACCAACACTCTCCTTGATGCTTATGGTGTAACGATTCCATCAACATATGGTTTCAGCAGCACAGTTGACAAGCAGCAGGACCAAGTGCGGGCGAAGCTGCGATGTGGCTTTCAGCGCGAACGAAAAATGTTGTCTTTGAACGATTTCAGCGACCCGAATGACACAGCAGCAGTGCCGGAATGGCAGATCTAAATCTGACGGAGGACTTCACTTGATAAGGGGTGTATTCTGAATTCATGACACACAGCTGGAGTTTGAAGCCAAGATGCCATATGGCTCCAAGCTGTGGATGTAGAGATGCACGCACAGGTACTGCATTGTAGGCAGTGCTCTTGTCAAGCAGTGCAGACAAGCAGCATCGCTGATGCAGTGGTTTGGTGACTTTGCATCACTCACGCCCACCTTTGCTACGATCTCAGACCTCACACCGCTGGTGTTTTGTGAAGGTTTCCCCAAGGGCATAGCCACACAGCCACAAGTTCCAAACCTGATGTATTGATGCAGGGAGTATGCCTGACCCGCGTTTGCCTTTATGTGACGCTGCGACCATGCACCACTGGCACGTCGCCACAGAACTGAAACGATGGCCGCAAAGCAAGTGCTGCAACAGTAGCGATTGAGCCCTCGTCAACTATCGCAAGGGAGGCAACAGACCTGGCGCTGCTCTAGACTCAATGGAACGAACAGGCTGAACGTCTCGATGGTCACCTGATGCATTGCCATTGCGTCGACAAGCGAGAACTATGTTGTGCTACGGTGGCAGTGGGCATGTCGGCCTCGTGTTGTACTTCATCGCAGTTAGTTTGTTTGTCATTACGGTTGTGATCGCCGAGAGCTGCGATGTCGAATATGTGCACGCAGTGATTGCTATTGCAGGTCGGTGGTCACAATTGATCCAACGATCCGTCGATGTTGGTCGATGTCGTCGACCGTAACACTCGAAAACTCGTCCGTTTCGAGGTGCAATGGGTGTTGTGTGCTTTCCTATTGCACCTGGAGACGTTTGCGTCTACAAAATGAAAAGGGTTCCAACGAATCTGTTGCTGGGAGGAACTTGCCCAAGTTTGCGCTTCGCGACCACGATTTTTCTGTGGGCAGCTTGCGTGTTCACTCTGCTGCGAGTGGTTTTTAGTGCAGCCCCCACTTACAAAGCACTGGGAGCTGCCGCAACTGAGCGCTTTGCAACTCTTGCAGTGTTCGACAAACTTGTGTCACAATGGTCTTAGTTTTCAACTTTAGTAGTACGTGAAGGCCTTCCCTCGTGTGTTGTGATGCATTGATCCATTGTAGGCCCAGTTTTATGGCGCTGTTCGTGATGGTTGCTCATTAAAATGCATCTTTTTCATCATATGGATCTGGCCGCCAAAGTCAAGGGGCAGTTGTGATTGAACACCCAAGGACCAAGGTGTCACTGCCTGGGTGAATGGACCACATGCTGACTAAATACTTCCTCCGTCTGGAATTAATTTTCCTTTATTTCAAAGATCAATTTAGTTATCTAAACGGCTTTCAAAGTACCGGTAAAGGTCATATTCGAAATGATAGGGTGTGACAATGATGCGGACAATTCAAGGTGGCAGACGATTTGTAGTGGCAAACTGCCCGCGTCCCTGTGGAAATCAAGAATGGTGGCTGAGGGCCGAGCGAAGCGAGGTCTTCAGCCACCTTCGAGATTGACACAGGATAGAATCGGCCAGGGGTCTGGGGCGGAGCCCCCAACTGCCAATGGCAAGAGGTATAATGAGCATTAATAGATGTTAACGATTGTGGGCCGTGGATGTAAGAGCATGATGCAGCCACGCCAATTGTCATTGATTGTTCTGGAGAGTTCTTGCCCTTGGCTCGTCGAGCGCGGCGCATGCCTCGGACGGGACCGCAAGCATTGCGGCCATCAAACTCAGGTCAGAAAGGGTCTGGGACACGACATCCGGCTGAGAGCAGGGCATGCTTCCAACGGAGAAGCCCTAGGACCCGGATCAAGTGACTTGGACGTGGCCACGAGGGAGCCATAGCCACATTGGGTCCCAAAACCCCTGACCGCCAATTTTTGTGACAAAATACCGATCCCCGCTACTTCTTGGGGCCCCTTGAAATTGCCTAAGATTTGTCCGAAATCTGTGCATTCCAATTAGGCGTTCATTGGAGATTTGCGCAGTTCTGGGTGGCTCCCATCCTAGGCATGCCAAGAGAAGGTGGGGGTTGCCATCGTGGCAAAGGGCAGTGTCCCTCACGTTGTGTAGCGCTTGCCAAACACGCTCAACCATGTTTGGATCTCCATTGAAGAGGCCCATCGTCATGGCATCGACAATGGCAGAAATCACTGCCTCCTTGATCTCCCATGCGAGGGCTTGCCACAAGCGAAAAGGGCCAACGCCCAAGACACACAAGTTTGGGATCTGGTTGATGCGGGTTATCACCCTAAGGCTATGTTGCAACTGTACTCTGACATTGTGCCTCAATTTGATCTTTGAATCGAGGCTTTCACGCATGGTTGGGCCCACACTCCAGGAATCGCCACTAATGGCCAACTCGTATGCGTGGTCTGCCGCCCTTCACAATCTAATTAGTCTCTATTTATGAGAGAGACACAAACTTGCCTCTCTGAACCCTCACTTTGCGTTCCACCCTTTCAATTATCGATGCAAATGTCGACTACTCCACCCCGTTTTGGAAACCATTCCCCTAAGTGTCTGCCGTTGATTAGGGTGATGACCATCACATTCCTTCGCACTTCTTTGAGGGCTTGGGAGGCCCTGCATAGTACCTCTCACAACAGCAATGGAGGTTCAAAGGTCGCAGCCCAGAAATCTGGGCCAGAAATACATCCCTGGATTGGCCAATCGATCTTGAATTAGGGCAGCGAAACCACGGCCACTTCCGTGATCAAACATGCCAAAACACATTTTCTACCACTTTGCTTCTTTGCAGGGGCCTCTCCAAGCTTTTGTTCAAATGGCACGGATAGTTTTGAATAGGTCGTCTTGTTTGGCTGCCGCAAAGGCGTGCTCCTCACCATCATGAAAACAGCCATTTCGGTGACCTTGTTGAAAAACGGGTGGGTTTCTGGAGAGAGGACCGCCACTACAATGTATTGCCGAATCTTCAATACTTAACGGATTGTCTTGAAATTTTGACCACATACTCTGAAAATATAGGCGCACCTTTGAAGAAAATTGCAATGGAAAAACAACGTACATAATGGAGAACTAGGGCGCCAAAATCATAGAGGACAATTAATTCTGGATGGAGGAAGTAGTATTTAGTGTCTGAAACTACGTGTTGGATGCACAGAAATGAGGTCCAAGCCTGCTCCTTGACGTAATGATGGTTTCTAAAGCTTTCCTGCAAGTATTTCCATCTCGCTTTTAGCCGTACAATTCAGTACAAAATGCATACCGTTGCTGTCAACATGTCCAGCACTCAAACCCTAGCCTCGGCGCCCCTCTGAATTGCTCTGACCCTTCATGCTCAGATTCAGTCAGCCTTCAGCAGCGCCAGGTCTTAATTTCTACAAAACGCCATCAAGCTTCAGATAAATGCAGATATTGCGCCTCTGCTCTTTCTCAAGCCATGCCTTTAGGCTTCCTCTGAAAGCATCAAGTGGCTCACTATGGTGTGTGTGGCTTGCTAATACTTCAGCCTTCTTTTGAGTGATCACCATGTTGTTTCTTGGGTTCTGTTACTTGTCTCCTTGCTTTTAAAACAACGCCGTGATCCTTTGGTGTTCTAGGCAGCATCCCTCAGCTTTGGAACGGAGGGAGCATCTAGATGCTTTTGAATTCAGTCGGTACTTGCTTGTGGGAAGTGCCTGCACTCTTCCACTCTAAGTGGGGTTGTACGGCCTCCTCGTCAGCCCTCCCTATTTATAAACAATGGACGAGTTGTTGGCCCT